TCAAAGTAAGAATGCCAGTGTGCTTGTGGGTTCTGGCACCAGGATGGCACCAGGGATCCCTTTGACCTATACCAACGGTACTCAAGCTATCTATGACATGGTCTTGGGACTCCCAGGTTTAGGGCCCATTCCCATGGCTCCCTGGCAGGCACTACCGAAGCCAACAGTTCCCAAACACGACACTGACATGGGACTGCCATAGGACTGCCGAGAAACGGCCAGGGGTGGTGCCAGGGAGGTGTTTCAGTTACTCTTTCTGGGGCGGCAGTCCGTCCTGGCAGTCCCAGACACGTCGTGTCTGGGGTTTCTTTTTGCCCATGACCTGGTCCGCAGGTGAGTCTCCAGGTCTTATCTCCACGACGGTCCCGTCACACACGGTGTGCCGCTCCAGGCACGAGAAGTGGCGGAAGTGCATCGCGCATGGCATGCGACTCGAAATTCAGGCTATACTGCACTGACAACACCGAGAAGCGATCTGAGCGCTCCTCGGTCCGATCAGGGCTCAGTTGGAACATCTGCACTGAGGTGTTGATTTCGGCGTTGGGCCCGATGAATTCACACAACACAATACAACACGACGCACCACAGCCAACCAACCAACCAAACACGGTGAGGATCTTCAGGTGGGGATCTAACAACAAAATGGTGAGGATCTTGAGATGAAGACTTGAATCCCATAGAGATGCACAACCGAGCTCGTCGTTGTTTAGCATCTTCTTCGAAGGCCCAAAGCTCGTGTTGAGGAGTCCATCTGGACCCGCCAGAATACGCGAAAAATGTGAGTTTGTAGGTTCATATAGGCAATATGAACCTCCCTGACACACATAATAATATACACTCGATCATACTGCTGCAACCAAGTTCAAGCAACTGCTTGCTTGAACTCATGGGTGTTATAGCAAGGCAAAGTCGTTTGGCCTACTAGTTGGTGGGGATCGAGCCTGGAAATCCACACTGGGTCCCTTCATGGGAAAATCCCGGGCTTCTTGCCCTATGTTCAACACCCATCCTGACAAAGTAAATAAAACCACCAGGCATGCTCATCGGAGGCCTATCATCATCCCTGATCCGGAGGACTTGGCAAGGTTTCCCACCAAATGTGTCCATGTCAACAACAAATAACACACAAAACCACCATAAACCTCCGCCTCGAAGCTGCAAAACAAGAACCCTGAAGGGAGCTCTATCCAGGGTCTTAGGGTCTTCCTCGGTCGGCCCCCGGACCGGGGTTCCCTATAGCACCTCGCGACTCGCACGTGTAGTGGTAGTAGTAGTAGTGGTGGTGGTGGTGGTGGTGGTGGTGGTGCAACGCTCAACGCTTAAGCGCCCTCGACGTCCCTCCGCTCGGGCCGATTCCGGCGCATCAGAGGCATGAGACGGTCTTGTGCCTCATCGAGGGGGTTCCGGGAAAGTAGGAGTCCACCAGTTCCTCTCCTGTGCGAAGCATGCCGTTGGGCAAGTTGAATTAGTCGGTGATGCTTATTGGATAGCGAATTGATGCGAAACAAAGGCACGTGCTGCGAACACACCCCAAGCGCAGTGTTCGAAAATAGATATACATGATGGGATATAATGAGATATAGCCATAGTTTGGGAGACCCGGCCTGTTTCTGGGAGGAAACCAAGATTTGGATGTTCTCCCTGTAGCGTTTTACCGATCCACTTGGGCAGGTTGCAGTCTTCCGGTGTGTGTGTGTGTGTGTACTGTCAGCTTTACTGCCACTTGCTTGATCCGCCAGGTGTGCGCCAGCGCGACGTCTACGCTTCCTTCGACGCTTCATGGAGAAGGTCTGGCAAAGATTGAACGCACCTTTTCCAGATGTTAACGCCCCTGCTGGTGCTCCAACATTCCACTATATAGCCTGCGCCCCTAGAACATTGAGGAGGTCAAGCATGTCCCTGGATAAAGATCACTGTCTCTAGCAAGAGGAAACCTTGGGACCAACCAACTGGATACAGAGTCTCTAGCAAGAGGAAACCTTGGGATCAACCTTGGGATCATCAAGCTTGGGATCAGCTTACCATGTCCCCTGCTTACCAGATTTCTCGGAAACGGCTCCAGGGAAACCTCTCGACCGACCTCCTTGCAATCGAAAGTCGCTGTGGACCTTTGCCCAAAGCATGAGTCAGTGAATTCAAATGGATTTGACCCCGCAAGAGAAAGTGAACAAAACCCATCCAAATCCTGAAAAGCCCATACCCGAAAAACAGCACACGAAGCTCTTGACCTCAGACTCTTGGTGGTGTCCACTTGCGGGTGTTTGGTCAAGGGCTATAGATACCACCTCGCGCTTTCCGTTAAGAACCACGTTCCTCTGGCCTCCGGACGGCCGCCTCCCGACAGTGGGAGTTCGATCCGGCTCAGGCTCATCTGAGGGCCTCAAGGAAGAGGAGACATGCGTGGGTTTGGTGGCTCGGCGTACTAAGAGACCCTAGGGGTCCAGTCGTACCTTCTTGGGTACGGTGATTGGAGACACTGTGATGTAGGCTTGGAGGGCCCAAATACCTTCTGAGAAGGTATGATCCATAGGGAGAGAAGTCAGAAGTGAATCCAACAGGCCTTGAAAAGTACATGTCCAGGTTCTGCAGGTCATGGTCCAAATGTTTGGGGAAGCTTGTTGGGAGATCCAGAAAACGGTCGTCTTTGGAAAAAAACACCTCTTTTCGAAAGCGATTGGGTTCAAAAGGTCCGGGACCAAGATGAAGAATTGGGATATATTGGGATGATGAGCCTACCAGCACCCTCCAACAGGCTGTTTGGAGACCCTAACAGGTGGTTTCTGGGCACCTGTTGCCACCAGGAAGCACCTGTTGGAGGGTGGTGGGGAGGTCGGCTATTCCTATGTAAACTACCTCGGTACCTCGGAAAATGGATCGGACGTCCAGCGGCTGCTGGCCGGTCCTGTCTCAGGTATACATATACCAGGGCCCCCGGCTTTGCGGCGACAACATGGACATCCCACAAATGACAAAAACCTCTCTAAGAGAGGCTATATATATATATATACCTGGACCTGACTGACCCAGTACCTTAGAAAATGGGACATGGCCCCATAAGAAACAGGTACGACTGTACCCATTGAACCCGAGGTACGAGGCTCCAGGTAGACACCTCAAACGGTGTCGTCCTAGTAGATTTGCAAATGATTTGAACACGCTGAACACTGGAGGTCAAGCATGGTTTAAATGGTCTTGGAAGCCTAGGGGAAGAGTCTTGGTTGTCCATCCCTCGTCAGTGGAGAACTTGCAAAAGATGTTAAGGGATCGGAGCACCCTGCTCAAATCAGGTACGCTACACTACTTAGGGATCTCCAACGACACAGCCAGGACGGATGCTTTTCCACCACTGAGAAAGTGGGCTGCCAGGCGTGTGTCCTCCCCACGACAGGGGCAAGTAACCTGCAGCCCACAGTAGATGAAGATAGATGAAGTATACAGTACCCACTGCACTTCAGGTATACGGTCCTGAAAAGAGATACACTAACTTTGGCCAAACCTCCCAAAATGAACATCAAAAAACTGGGCTGAATTGCATGACGAACCTTTGGGCGAAGACGCAGGAGCTTCCTGAATCCCACATCCACATTTGCAGTGGATCTGTACCAGATTAAGCAAGCCCAACGAGTTGGCCCCCCCACAAGAAAAAACAATTGTTTAAATGAAAAGACTCTATATTTCCACATTGGCCTCCCTCTTTATATGGCTTTTCTTGGCAGAATCCTCCCACTATGTATCAAGCCCGTATGCCCACAGAAAATTATGGTTAATAAATATTGTACGTAAAATATACGCGGTGATAGTATTTATACAACTATACTTTCTCTTTTCAGCTAATATCTAGTGAAACTGATCTTCTGATCCACCCTTTTCCCATGCCATCTCTTCTCCCATCCCATCTTGCTGTCAATGTGTGCTCATATGAGACCTCTTTCAATAGCATGAATCATATGAGGACAAACCATGGTGCACCCAGCAGGTTCCAATCCCACATGCCAAAATCCAATTCCATACATACAACATCCCTACCGATTACCTAGGGGGGCGTCACCTAATTGTAAGTTACAATTTCCTAGGTTTGATACCTCAAAAAATGTAACGTACAAATACTAAATCACCTGAAAAATTGTAACTTACAATTTTGAGGCCTCTCAATTGGTCAGACATCCCATATAGTATGGCCACACTGCCGTTGTGTAGATTCTGCACGTATTTGATGGGGGGGGTGAAAACTTCTGAAACTACACACGTCGGAGGCAGTAAGTTACACTTTTTCACCCCCCCTTTTAAAGCAGTAAGTTACATTTATCCCCCCCCAAAGTGAGTGGTTTGGGGGAGGGTTGGTAAATGTAACTACAAGCCTCCCACGTCCTAAGTTACATTTTTGAGCACCTCCCCCCAAAAAAGGGCATCAAGGGGTGGTAATTGACGCCCCCCTCAAATCCATGGGTAAGGGGGTAGGGATCATACAACCACAAACCCAATGCCAGCAGCTTCAAACTCTCATGGAGAAACACAGAATCTCATCAACCATTATCCATCATCAGGTCCAGGTCATCACCTCATCATCCATCATGCAAGTCAAATTCACAACGCCACCATCTGCAAAGCGTCGGACTTCACCGTCTCCGCAAACCTCCGGCCAGCCCCAAACCGAAAATAACATCCATCCAAGTGGCACATCCGCCCCATCCACATCGGCATCCGCGTTATCACCGTCGCCCTGTATCCGCGCGATCTTCTCGTCTTTCTCCGGTGGCTTGGCCATCGAAGCCGACGAGAGCGCTCGCACGATCACGGCTGCAGAACGCATCGGGCGTCGTGTTTGAAATTCAGGGCAGAGTCCAAAAAGAGAAACAGGGAGAAGAAGTGGTACATCCAAGGCTTAGGTATTTGATGCGTGATGTTTGCTTCAAGTTGCTTGCTGCTCAACAAAAATCCTTGCAGGCCAGAAATCAGATTCCTATAAATGTCTAACAACCCAAAGCCGCACAAGTTGTTTTCAATCGCAGCTCTCAGCTCTCCAGCTCTCAGCTCCGCCTTGCCGCGCGGAGCGTCTCATGCCGCTCTCGGAGGTCGACGATCGAGGACTCGGTCATCGGGCCGAGTCCCAGTGTTTCGGCTTGATGATAGCGGGTGATGATGGCTGATAAGGGCCAAACAGAAATCAGAATAGACGTATACCATCGTATACCCAAACGCGACCCATGATACTGCCATAGGACTGCCGATCAGGCCAGGGGTGATGCCAGGGGGGTCAATGTATAGGCATATATTCCATACATGGAGTGTATGGGATATGCCATAGCCTTATCTTCACCATTTTGGAAATGGTTCAATGGTTCACCTGGTTTTTGCAGTAAAAAGGGTACTAGTAAAACAGTTAATGTTTGTTCGGTAAAGTTTGGCTATTGAATCAATGGTGGTTCGATTCCTAAGGTAAGTCCACCAGAAATTCCACCGGACTGGGCCACATCACGTTGAAAGGGACACATCCAAATCGAATAGTTCAATCATGTTCAAAACATGGATGAAGCAAATGGATGTCTTTCTTCACCGACTTGTCCTCAGATCGGCCCAACGCGCCTGCCGTCGCCGATCTCGGGTCGCTCAGGGTCGCTCAGGGCGGCGCCCTGAACGCTGCGCCCCGCAGTTGCGGCGCTGCGAACGGCAGAGTTCTGACTCACCGAAGTATGCCCTCCCTGAGCCTTGATGGAAAAATGGTATGTTCAATCATCAATCATCTGGACACAATCTTCTGCTCAGAAATGGATTCACCTCAGTCATGATTTACCATCCTACGAATCCTGGCGCTTTTCGCAACAGCGAACCTTCCACCGCCAGAGGAAGGGGGCAGCGCCGACAGGGTCGGACGCAGCTCCAGCTTTCTGGTCGATCCAGGAAAGCTCGGAGGTCTACGTCAAGCTGCTGAAAGGTGCTGAATAAGGGTCAATGGTTGGTCTGTATGTATGACCCATCAAAACCAACACACCACCTGCCACAACTCCTCCGCGGCAAGGCTCCCCAGTGGCCTTCCCCCGAAGCAAGATGCTTAGGTCGTGGCCTGCAGCTGAGACTGGGAGGAGACATGCAAACCTGGAGTATCCTGCATTCCTGCAACTGTTGAAACGCCCATGTGGGACAAAATGTAGTGGGAATGAATGTTTAAGTCATGGCTTTTGATTTTGGTGGAGGTTATATATACATATATATATTTATAGTTATTTATATAAATTTGTAGACTTGGTGTTGCTTTAGCCAAATGACTTCTTTCCAACCTCTGGAATGAGATCCAAACCTAAGGATCCTAAGGTGCTTTTTTGATAACGGGATTTCTGATGCGTATGAAAGGCTCATCTGGCACATCAAAAGCATGGAAATCTTTCAAGATCGCCTCGGCAAAGGTGAGATAGGTTTCTTTATGATGAGAAAGGTCTATGATGTTGTCAGGTCTATTGAACAAGCATGGAACAAAGGGTTGAGTTAATTCTCTCAAACTCGTTTCTGTGATGAACACTGTAGCTGTATGGCCCCCCTTTTCTCCCATGGTGTTGCCATGAAGATCCATGAAGTATACTGTACCTGTACAGTACAATCAGTACATTGACAATTGATATGCGGGTGTGCATTAGAAAAGGCAGACCCTGTTAGAACCGCTGGAAAATAGACGACCACCCATTCATGGACGGGGGTCCCAAACCCCAAACAAATAGATATGTCTCACCCACTGTCATGAATTGACCTGCTATCCGCCCACCCCATCTGTTGCGCTCGGCCATCTCTTTTGCCGCGGGCGAGGCAGCGGGAGGTTCTCGGGCTCAACTGGCGAAGACGACGTCGATGGGTGGGTTCACCTGAAGAAGACGGCGGCCCTGAGGATGTGATGGCGGTCCAAAAGAGAAAGAGCGAACTGCACATGGGTTTCATGGACCTTTTCAAAGCAAAACGGTTTGTGAAACACAAATGGCCAACTGCCCTGGACTGTCTGTGAAAACGCACAACATCTCAAGTGCAACCCAAAGATCTCAAGAGGTATGGTGGATCAGCACTCATGATTTGGGATCAAACCCTAGAGCTCCAACCATATCCTCAGGTTCGGTGGTTAGACCCCCCTGGCACCCACCCCTGGCCCATCTTCTCAGGAGGTGGGCCAGGAGCCCTAGGGAAAAAATCTAGATCGGATCTGGACTTCGGTGCAAGAACAAACAAGTTGAGCTGGAGAACTGGCAAGGCTCGTCTGGAGAACTGGCAGTGCCTGCTAGGTCTCCAAAACACATGAACCAATCAAGCATCAACCCTCTCCAAAACAGCAGTAGTCAATACAATGCAACTTTGTGCTTACATGTGTAAAGCACCCAAATCTGGGAGCTGCACAAATTGGGAGAAGCCCAAAGCATCATCGCCCAGCTTCTTCATGATGACATCAAAGTCCTCTGAAGGGATGTGAATTCGAAGGACTTATGGTCCGGAGAAACTGCTCGCTCTTGAATCATGAACGATTCTGTCATTTTCGTCACCCTGACGGGGGGGTCCGTCACTGGGTTTTTCTCTTTCACTCAATGAAATCAGTGAGTGCACAAGCAGCGGAAGATCAACGAGCCTTGGTCCCTGGAAACTCACAGGTTGAATTGAATAGTCTTCCCAGGACTCATGCCAAAACATGCCAAAAACACCTGGAGGCAGTCAGCGGTCTCCGATCTGTTTCCATCTGTTTTCCATCTTTTGACACTCCCTCGGCAGGACCGCCTGGGGCCAAAGTCCGACGTCGGAGATGCAGGCCAAAACAAGGTCGACCTCTTCTCCCATTTTCTGACTGGTGCGACTCGTAAAGACTGAGGGAATGGCTGGATCCTAAGGGTATCTATCCCATACACTCCTATAGGACTACCATCCTATGCCACCCCCAAACAGACCCCCTGGCACCACCACCCCTGCCCGTTTCGCAGTCCTAGCCGCCGTCTCAGTCCAGTCCGTCACCCCGGCCAACCCCACCGGCGCGGGCCGCGAGCGGCTGCAACTCCTCGGACATCACGTCCGCACCGTTGATCTTCTTCACCTGGACACCACCGACGGCGCTCCAGTCCCGTCCGCCGACGGAGACGGCGACGCCGGAACGCGACCCGAGTCGAGGAGACCGGACCTTCCGGACGCATGGAGCAGGAGTCCGTCCTCATTCGGTGTGTTTTCGTGATGTTCCGTCGAAAACGGGATGAGATATGATGAGATCATGCTTGGGAAAGCGAAGAATGAGACCTCAAGTCTCCCAACTCGGATGAACTCTCAAGGTGTCCAGCTGGATGGCGGCAGGTTCAAGCTGGGTAGAGCCTTCCCGAGCGACCTGAAGAATTTGGCCTTCCAAATGGTGGTCTGGTAGCGAGCCCCAAACACTCCTTGGGACTGGAATACATGCCTAGCCCCAAGACAATTACCCTAATGTATGTAAATATGTCAGTTCGACTGTCTGGGATAGGTATCCCAAATGGTGCTCTGCACCTGGATCTTTTCACGTGTGAAAAGGATCCACCTGGATCTTCCTGGCTGGTTTGGTCGACGAACAAGTCTGGAGAGCTGGATTGTTGGATGACAGAGTCTCATTATGATGTTTCTCCTGAAGCTTCCCTGAAGACTGTGCTTCTTCTACAACAAAGATCGTCCATTTCAATGTCAGTCCGTCAGACCTGCTTGAAGCCAAGATGCCACCATGCCAGGCTTGATCCCAGCGGTTTCGGCTTGTCCTGACTCTCACAAACACCCTCACCAAATCATCAGCACTTGAAGAGAAAACTTATTTTCGTTGGAACAACACACTCTTCGAGGTTTACCATTTAGGGTTCGAGCTTTGGACGCAGCCGCAGGGGAGACCATCCCACACAATCAGAGGGCATTCCCCGGCACCATGTCGATGATGGCATGTTAGGAGCTCATTCATTCCGGACCTCTTGGACCTCCTTCCCCGGCAGCCCAGTCATATCTCGATGACGCGAAGGATGGCCCCTGGCCCCTCTGGAGCTCTGAAGGTCGAAGTCTTCCAAACCTGGACCATGCCCTGTTCGACTGTGGGCCCCCTCACCAACACATAGGGTTTAGTTCACGTCCGGACCCATAGAATCCGACCCCCCGAGGGTCAGGGGAGTGTGGTTCTGGTGGTTCAAGGTGACCGAAGTGGATCCCCTGCCATGTGTTCCAGACCAACGCTGCGAATCGGACACGTACCGACCTGGGAGCCCACATCCAACCCCTGCGTTGATCCAGATTGAGTCCTCAAAACCAAGAAGTCCCAGACACGACGTGTCTGGGACTGCCAGGACGGACTGCCGCCCCATCGACCCCCCTGGCTCCACCGCAACTGATAGGCATACAATGGCAGTCCCATGGAGTGTTTGCGATTGATCAATTGATCTATAGTATAGGAGAAACTCGATTTAATCTAGGACACTGATCTAGAAGCGTAGAAATTGGGGGAGATCGATCTCCTAGCGGATCATTGATGTAGACGGGCTTGGCCACTGCTTTGACCTAAGTCTTCGGAAGCTGCGGCTTACTTAAAAAGAAAAACGCAGCAGCGAAGCGAGAGGCCAGCCCAAGAAGCCAGGTGAAGCAGCAGCGAGGTCTAATGGAGAATCTGACAAAAGGATACAAAGGGTATCCAGTTTCCAGTGGTGTGCTGGTTCTCGACGAATCTTACAACAAAACATGGATGATGCCACCATCTTCAGAGGTACAACTTGAGACTTCAGGAAGCAAAGCTACAAAGTAGATGGCATGGTCACCACACAGTTGAGGTGGTACACCTGCTTGGTCATCATCATGGAAGTCTGAAAACGCCACCTGCTTGGTCTTGAGGTTTCATATGATTTCAGGTTTCATAATATAATTCCATGCCATCCAAGTTATTCCATGACAATTGCATGGACTGCCAACGGGCCCGTGCATACTGTAACATTGGGTGTATTCCATTCCCTGTAACGGTGGATGATGATTTAGCACAGGCCTTTCTCAAAAAGGGTGGTCTATTTTGACAGAAAGGCCTGTTCCGAGCAGCAAGCAATTGACTGTTTTTCGGAAGATATTCAAGATTTTTCAAGTATAATCTGACATTGTGAGCGGTGAATGTTAAGTTTTTTTGGGTACCCTAGGGCTCCAAGTATCTTCTAAGGTTGTTGGGGTGGGTGCCAGGGGGATCCAAATACCTTCTGAGGAGGTACGACTGGAACTATGTAGGCTATCAAACAGTCCGTTCTGACTATCGGCTACCACAAGTCTCTTCGCAAAATAACATGTGTCCACTCTAGTTGTGATTAATCAACACAAAAAGTAAAACATTGTTTCGAAACATAACTACAGTACTGTGACCTCTGGACTAGTTGCCTACCGGGTCATGTGTTTGGCAGCCAGACCCAATATAAATAATATGACGACCCAATAGACATCTGAAGGAACATATTTTGGAGATATATGGTACGGTAACGAATGAATACCGACATGCAACGTCACATTGGTTTCCACCCCATGCAAAGCATGCATGGTGGGGGATGGCTGACAGAGGTTCCCAGACCCTAAGCCCTCAAAACAACAGGATCAACGCACAGTTTGCCTGAGCTCGCTAGCTTTCCAGAAATGGATTCCAGGGAGGAGCTGTGGATGGAGTGACGCGGTCTGTCTTCCAAAACGTCGTCACCTCACCATTGAGCCAATAAGCATGTTTTTCAACCACCTGGACGCTCTAAACAACCCTTGGTCCCTCAAAACCTACTGTTTGGGGGCATTTGAGACCCCAGACCTCTCCAAAGGATGGCTCTCAATCTTGAGGGTCCAGGAGCTGCCCCCCAACGCAGCTCACTGGGCAGCTCCTGGACGCCCAGACTAAACGCAAGGGCCCCGCACCCCCATGGGCGGTGGGCGTGAGGTGTTGAACATTCCCAGAGGTGTCGAACGCGATGATTTTTGGAGCTCCCATGACTCTTGGCTGTTGATAGTTGGATGTCTGACAGCTCAGTCTGACACAGGACCGGTACAATATGAAAGAACTGACCTGGAGGAGCATGTCCCTCACATCTTTCGAAG